TTCTGCATTCCACACTCTGGGAAAGTCTGCAGTGCATGCTAATCAATATGTTGTTCCATGTTCAGCTGCTGAAAATCATTCAGTATCCATGTAAACATGTCCATGTAACTAATCTAATAAGTATTTGAAAGACACATCTCGCTCTCTTCCGCCCTCTCACTCCGTCTCTGTGCATGCTACGTGCACAATGTTGCCTGGGGGCAAATGTTACTTTGTGCCCACCAGGCCTGTTGTGATTATACATCAATAACATAATTCCAAGGATAATTTATGCTCTTATAAATTACAAAGCTTTCCTAACAAACCACGAGAGACTCAACAGGAAAGTGCAGCATTTCACTTTATTGGGTAAACAGCGAGACCGCTCTGCTATTTGCAAGATATCACCAAGACTTTTTGGCACCATCTCTGCAAATATCATGCATATTGAAATAAATGCACTTCTCTGACGTTTGGATGAAATTAAATGAACCTTTCTAGTATTCCACCCTCCACACACCCACTCCTCTTCCCATACCCCCATGCTGCCTGCTAATTGATGGGAGACTGGGAGCTTCCTGCTGTGTCTTTGCGTCTTCTTTCTGCTTTGCTGCCCCACCAGGTCTTTTACCAACACTCACTGCAGATCCCAGTAATTAACCCACAGCTAATTGACTACATCTAATTACACCATCCTGCTGTTTCTATCACACTCTTACAAAACTGAGTGCAAAGTGTAAAAATACTTTTCAGAGCAGATTTGGAACCTAGCTATTCTCCCCCGCTCAGGTCATTTCATCAAATCAAGCCTATTAGCATGAAAGACTAACTATGTAACCTTTTTTTAAAGTTGTACAACAAGTTGTACAACAATGTAGCCTTCCTCTGATCCACTCTGCTTGTATTAAGTTGATATGGAAGTCAAGTGCTGCGAAGCTGAAACAATCAGGACATTGTCTCCTGTGTATAGAACCAGTTCATTGTACGTTTAATCAGAAAAGATTATTTTTCCTGTGATGTTCAATCTGTTTCCAATCAGCTTTGATGCATATCGTAGACACAGAAAATTGCATTAAAAAAGTTCTGTTGTCTGAGAAAGGCACCTAGACATACTAGTGACTGACCCTGTCTTCACACACATTCTTGTAAACACACAAACAAACACACACACACACACACTGCTTTCCCCCAGCTCAGACTCAACACAGCCGTGGCTATTTCTGTTCCACAGACTGATAGCTCCCACTGAAGATCATTGATTTTACGGGAAGCCCTGTTTACAGGCTGAGTGCCATCGACCTGAGGTGACTTTTTGCCTCCTGTAGCTAAAGCAATACTGGAGCATCCTTACATCTATATTAGGAGAAAGTGGACAGATTTCTTAGAGCCACCACTAACAACATGTCTTAGATTTTCCTAGATCGAGACCAAATACTCCAAAGAGGGAGGGATTTAGTTAGCTGATAATTACCTAAAAATTGAGCACTGATTTTTTTTTTCCCTCTTGTTTTATTAACAGTATTTGTAGTATTAGTTGAAGCAACTTTTAATTTACTTATAATCTTAGCTCATTTATGTGTATATGTATTAGAATTTTTTTTTTATCAGAGAATATTACTTGTTTTGCAAATTACAATCCATTTTGGAGGGAAACTACAAATACTGCATTTACCTTGATTGTGTGAACTCTGGTTGTGTTCATTGCTAAAGACTTAGATATAAAGATATAAACAGGTATTTAAAATCTGTAGGTAGAAGCTATCTGACGCTGCCTGACCCGCAGTTGTTGTTTTGGCACATCTACACACGGTACAATTGTAGAAAATGATTTGGTGTACTGTAAGGGCATTTAAAAATATTTTCTAATTTGAAAAGGTGTTTCCTCGCCTGCATGTGGATGACCAGATCCAGGGCTGCATGATTCCCATAACCCAACAGTACTCGTTGTTAGATCTGAGCTGGAGGTAAACCCCACAGGAAACCCATGGAGAGAGGGTTCCTTTGGGGACAAGGCCAGGCCTTCAGGCAGGTGATCAGGCATGCTTATAATCAGATGGTTCTTTAGCCTTTAATTCCCCTCTCAGTTGGCTGGTAAATCCCATCTAATAAAAGGACCCATAAACTAAAACGTATCTCTTTTTCCATCCAAAAAAGTGCCCATACCCTCTGTCTAACAGTGTTCATTAGTCATATTAGACCTATTCATGAGGTACAAGGCTGCCTTTCTCGTTAGGCTGGTGTAAGGGATGAAAATGTGACTTGTATTTTTTGTTGGTCGAGTGAAAAAAAAAAGGAAGTAGTAAAATCGTTGGCATTAAGCCTTTGAAGGCAGGTGGCAACAGGATTGGGAGTCCCACAGTCCGGATCTGTTCTTCTGCATGTTCCCTTAGATCAGATCAGGAATCCAGCCCATTCTTCTCCCTGATTATCTCTTATTGTCCACTAAAATATGTTTTGACTGCTTACACACTGTCTGTTGTTGTCAAACCAGTGATGTCATATTTGTGTGTGTCTGTGTATATACATATATATATGTATATATATATATATATAAATGTATGGAGCCTATGACTAGGAACATGGAGACACTTCCTCTTCCCCTTTCCTTTAGCCGCGTCTCTTTGTCTGTCTCCCGTACTTGTTTAGTGCCTCCCAGAGATTAAAGCTTTTCCTGCTTTAAACAGGTGTCACTGAGCCAGGCAGACCTCTGAAGAGACAAACAGCATTATATCAGCAGGCCCATCTGCGACTTGCCGACTCCAGACAATCCCATTGCTCATCAGTAACCACTGCAGGTTATTGAATTACACCATCTTGATTTTAAGAGCAATCCTGTTTTCTGTAAGCAGAGTGTACACACCAAGATGGCTGAGAACTCTGATCTGGAGTCATCATGTTATCCTATTTGGAACTAATTGCTTCAGGTATCTTACAGCAGAAATGCTAATGGATCAGTGGATACACCAGTATGGAGCCCTGGCCTCTGTTCAGTCTCATTAACACAGAGACGACAAATTTAAAGGTCATTAATAATTAGCGTTCTAGTCTTAAAGTGGTAACTGTGGAGGGATGATATCCCTACTCCTGGTTAGATGGTCACTGTGGAATCTCAATTTCAAGATTTAAAAATCAGTATATGTAACAATGTTTTATTCAGAGTAGCTTTTCGACAACTCGCGTCCTCTGGGTTTTGAGTGAATTTTCCAGTGTTAATTTATGTAATCTTAGTCTGAAGAATGGCTGTCGGTTTGACATGTGGGCAATAGGTTTTTTTTTTACTTGCATTAGTCTTGCTCTCCCTCAGTCCATTTGTGTGAAATGGCTGTTGAGCTCATTGCTTTTTATTAATGGCGCAGATAATAAATACAGACCAATAGGGCCAGTATCCCCTCACTCAATATGGCAGCCACCTCTAAATCATGTCTGGCTGTATAAAGCAATCTTGTTAATAAGCCAGCCGGTCTAATATCTTTCATTTTGTATGCAAAGCAAGATAAGGGTCACTGGTGTGAGTGGCTGCTGGGTGTAAACAAAACAATCAGATCGACCATACTTACAGAAAATGCCGGCCTCAGGATTTATGGTACTAATATTTACAGCGTCTTTGTAGACATCTTTGTTTTGGATTTTCTTGCATCATAGTTTCTTTCCGTTCTTTCCTCGCAGAATTCTCATCTTGTCTGTCATTCTCTGCTCATGTCAAGGCGCACAAATTTGCCCTGTACCTTCTTTTGAGCTTCATATACTGCTGACTGAAAAGGTTTTACATATGTTGTGTAGGTGGGGATTTCCATCAGACATTCATGAAAGGCAGACTGACATTATCAGTCTCTTCGCTGCCTCAGTGTTATTATGTTTGGGCATGGGGGGAAGACTTCATTCTGATCACAGCCTAAATTTGCATCTCTAAGTAAATAAGTAAATAAATCAAGTCCAAGCAGTGAATGTGCTAATCAAGCGGGACATGGCAGTGAGCTTGATGCCGGGAAACTTTGCTCATGTAATATTCAGTGATAGTGGGTTAAAGGGCAGCCTGGAGTTATTGGTTTCAGCCCGATTACCCCCTTTAATCAATGTTGGCTGCATCCCTTTAATAAAATTATTAGCTCAGCAGTATCTAGCGCTATCATTTTATCTCTTCTGCACTCTAAATTGCAGCCTGTGCTGGGCCTCTCAGATGCTCGGGGCATGGCCAGCTCCAGAAACCTCAGATCCCACTTATTATTTTAGAGGCTGAGGGTGGCTAGTGTTTTTGAAGCCAGTGAAAGTTATTGGATAAAGGTATAAACACAGTTGCACTGAAATCAAATTCCAATAAATGTATTTAAGGCTCAGCCTTTTATTGCTATTCAGCTTGTAGATACAGAGTATTTTAACAATAACAGTATTGTTTTATAATGGGATATTCTAATTTGAAAACAACTGGAAGATGGTAATAATACAGTATTTTTATATATTATTTATTCAGTTTTTTAGTGGTAAAGTTCAGTTTGCTGATGTGTCTATATATATATTCATAGTGTCTATAATGTACCAAATAATCAGTTTGAGTGAGACTTTTTTGTATTTTATTCTCTATGGAAAAAAATATAGGATTTAAAAATGTAAGGTTAGAAATATGTATGAAAAAATTAAAAAAGGCCCATTCCTTTTTAATTTATTTTCAAGTATATTATAGTTGTTCTTAGAATACCGATGATGATCCTAATAAAAATTAAATTTGCAAATTTGTAATTTTCTTATACCTTTTACTTTTCAGACCAAAGAATAAATCTATCAGAAAAAAACCCACTTTTCTTCAATTTAAACTTTAAATCAATCATTACATGATGACATCAGTATTCCCAATCCCTACTGCATAAAAGAGATATGCTACTCAACAGTTCATCTTTTTTGTAATCTATTTAAGAGACATACCAGCTGAATGTTTAAAACCCATTTTGTAATTGTTGGAAAAAGTCTTGGCATAGTCATGCAGAAAAAAGACATCACCTAACTATGCCTATGCTGTGTCTCTGCAGGCCTGGATGCGATGAACGCCTCATGTAGGCATCAGCATGGACAGCTGTGAGTCTCCCGTAGTTTCTGGGACAGACGATGGGCTCAGCTCCTCCCAGCAGCAGCAGCAGCTACCACAGCCCTGGAACGATCACTCTAGCTCACAGGTCCCCTGCAACAACCAGGCTCCTTCTCTGGACCCTCTGTCACTTTCTACTTCCTATGCTTCACATACCCCAAATCCCAGTACAACTAATGAAGGTATAAGAGAATTACAGTCCCAGAATCATCAGCAAAAACAGACATTAGCCCAAACCCACAGTGGTTGTCCTACTACAAGGCAGCTGCATCGCAGAGAAGAGGCTGTTGAAGAAGAGGAGCAGGAGGGAGTGAGCTGTGGAGAAGAGGAAGACTCTGAAGACTTGGATGAAATGGAGATTGACAGTTGTTTCCCAAGCCTTCAACCCTTTTCTGGGATGCCAATGGCCTCAGGTGTAGGGGGCATGCCCACTCTTTTGCGACACCAACCCACACAACAGCGGGTAACTCCTGAGAGTGGCAGTGAGGATGGTGAAGAGGAAGAGGAAGACGAGAGCAGTGATGTGGAAAATCTAGCTGGAGAGATTGTCTACCAGCCAGATGGGTCAGCGTACATTGTCGAGAGCCTAAATCAGTTGATCCAAAGTGGTGGAGGTGTGGTTCCCGGCCTACTTCCAACAAATTCGCTTACCAGTGGGGGGAAACTAGGTGAACCATCTGGTTCTTCATGTTCGGTCTACCCTCAGATCATCAACACATTTCACATAGCCTCGTCCTTCGGGAAGTGGTTTGGCAATTCAAACCAAGGTTTCCCCAATACCTCATCTATGGCAGGCCTCAGCCCTGTCCTGCACAGTTTTCGTGTCTTCGATGTGCGACACAAAAGCAACAAAGATTACCTAAACAGCGATGGGTCTGCCAAGAAGTCCTGTGTATCCAAAGATGTTCCAAACAATGTGGATTTCTCCAAATTTGATGGGATAGCCCTTTATGGTAAGGGAAAGCCCATTCTTATGTGTTTCCTCTGCAAGCTGTCCTTTGGCTACGTGCGTTCCTTTGTCACCCATGCTGTCCATGATCACCGAATGACACTGTGTGAGGACGAACAGCGCCTGCTAAGGGACAAGCAAGCATCTGCCATCATCCAGGGCATTGGAAAAGACAAAGAGCCCCTAATTAGTTTCCTGGAACCAAAAACGAAGAGTACTTCTCTGCCACCTAACCTGCACCCTATGAACTCTGGCCAGAGCTTCTATGGCACATTTAGTGGTGTCCATTTGGAGCCTGGAAGCAGTAGTGGGGGCAGTGAAATTCTGATGAATAAAGACTCTGATTCTAGCCTCCAAAAACCACAGCAACAGCAAACCCCAGTAAGCTCAGTCCTCTCTCTAGGAGGGATGAGCGTTCCCAAAGCATCTATTGCAACCTCATCCCCAGGCACTGCCAAAGACTCCAGTGCCCTGTCTAAACAGGGAGGGAGAATAGAGGAGACTGAGTTAACACGACAGGGAGAGGACGTGGAAAAAGAAGGCAATGAAAGCAAGGCACACCTATCAAACCAGGTGGTGGGTGTAAAGGAAGAAGGACTGTTATTAGGAGAAGAAAAAAATGAGGTCGAAGCAGAAAGCACTGGAGTAGCTTGTGGTGGTAACAGTAGCAGTGGTGGGAGTGAAGTGGGGGAACCAGCTGTCTCAAACCAAAGCATTTCCAAATCTCCTTTATTAATGCCTAATAGCTCACTTCAGCCTTCTGCCTGCACCTCTGTGGTCAGTTCCGCACCCAACAGCAAAACCCCTGCTTCCATTTGCTCCTCTGTAAAGGAAGATGGTTCAGCTGCAGATGGTGGGGGGAGGACCTCAGAGCTCCCTCTGAGCTTTAACTGCCAGGGACCCCCTGTTCCCATGGCAATGGCAGCAGCTGCTGTCAGAAGGAGCGAGGATGACACTGCTGGCACTTCCTCCTCACCTCTGTCCTCCAATGCCGCTGCTGATGAAAGTGCCAATCGAGATAGTGCCACAGCTCCAGAACCAAATGATTGCCCAGCAGAAGGTGAAGAGGAAAATGGAACACTTTTGCACCATCACCACATGCTCCATCATCATCATCACCTCCACCCTTCATCTCATGGACACTCGCACCCTCTTTCAGCAGGCTCCTGCGATGTAACCGGAATGGGTGAGTGTTCTCAAAACCATGGGTCTGGTGGCATCACAGGAAGTGGGGTTGAATGCCCTAAATGTGACACTGTCTTGGGTTCCTCACGTTCCTTAGGTGGTCACATGACCATGATGCATTCACGCAACTCTTGCAAGACACTGAAGTGTCCCAAATGCAACTGGCATTACAAGTACCAGCAGACGTTGGAGGCCCACATGAAAGAGAAGCACCCAGACTCTGGTGGCTCCTGCATGTACTGCAGCAGTGGTCAGTCCCACCCTCGTCTGGCTCGTGGAGAGAGCTATACCTGTGGATACAAGCCCTTTCGCTGTGAGGTGCGTATCAAACATTTTGACATATGTTGTAGAGCAAATATTTCTTGTTCATTCTTATTAAATACAACAGTGTTTATATTCATTGCAGACATAATTCAAGAGAAAATATTTGTTTTCTAGGTGTGTAACTATTCTACAACCACAAAGGGCAACCTAAGCATCCACATGCAGTCTGACAAGCACCTGAATAACATGCAGTCACTACAAAATGGAGGCTCAATTGGACCTGCACAAGAGCAGGTGTTCGGGCATAACCCGGGAGGAGTGGTCGCTGTACCTTCAGTGACCCAGGCCAGTAGCCATCACCCCTCTCACCACCATCCTACACAGTCCTCTACCCATATGGCTGGACCCTGTGGGACACCTTCTCCAACCAAGTTGAAGAGCAAACCTACATGGCGGTGTGAGGTATGCGACTACGAAACCAACGTGGCACGGAACCTGCGGATCCACATGACGAGTGAGAAGCACATGCACAACATGATGCTCCTCCAGCAGAATGTGACTCAAATGCAGCACAGCCGGCTTGGCTTGGGAGCCATGCCTTCACCGTCTGAGGCTGAGCTGTACCAATACTACCTGACTCAGAATATGAGCCTTCCACCAGGCCTGAAGATTGATCCAAATAGTGCAGAGGCCCAGTTCCTAATGGGAAGCTTTCATCTGGATCCCAACATGGGTGCCCTGGCTCCAGGACTGGGTAAGAATCTATGGTTTAAGCGATTTTTTAAAATATCAACAATACCTATCTAGACTACAGTTCTTCATTAAATATCAACTTAAATATCAATTAAATACCTATCTAGACTACAGTTCTTCATGTTACTTATTACGTTTTTAACAGTGACATAGTGACCTTGAGCTAAATATTTAAAAATCACCCTGAATAAAGGTGATAGGGATACATTGGCAATATATCAGCATAATATAACTTCATACTATGTGTATTACTTCATATGTCTGTATTATTGTATTTGTATAGTAGAGGTAGATATTAAGGGGGTAAGATTCAAGAACGGACGTTATGGTGAATAGCATCCAGGCTAGTGTGCATGTGTACTGTATTTATTAAAAACAATGACTGGAAGAGTGATGTCTGAGAGACCAGGTCTGTAATGATTTCAAAAGGCTACTCAAAGGTCTCCCTCCCCTGGCCATAAAAACTCAGGTAATGGAAGAAAAAAAAGTCCAGTGCAGCCTGTATACTGCAGCAATAAATAAAAAAGAGCCAGTGGAATTAATTTAGTGTAAAGCCAGGCAGGGTCATGCCTCCATGCTCAGTCTAGACTCTGAAAGATTAAAGTTGAGGAAGCAAAGAAAAAAAAAGTCTCACCCCTTTGCTTCATTTTTAATGTCACCGCTTCCACACAGTACAGTATAGCTGTATAGACATCAATTCTGTGGTTGGTGTCATAGGATATGTGCTTGCTGTGTTTCCCCTCATCTGCAACATATTGACTCAGTACCAACAACAATTAATCTGTTGGGTGTCTATATTGATTTAGGAGCAATCCACAGAGAAATAATTCAAGCTGAGAAGTAGAATATTTGCATTATTATTCTGTGAAAAGGGCGATGGATTTGATTTACAGTAAAGTGTGTTTGGGAAGTTCCTAATTCTTCAGAAGTGATAAATTAACTGTACTTTGTAGCCAATGAAATTGATTTACAGATATGTCATGGAGAGACACGAGACAAATAAATGTGTACATTTATTTGCTGATGGTCCACTGGTGGTTTGCCATCATATTGTTCAAATCAGATCTATTTTACTACTAAAATTAATACATGAGGCATTTAAACACCTCTGATTACAAAGGTATTTAGAGTATCACATCAATGAGCTCCGACAGTGAAAATAAACTGTGTACTGAGGCTGTATATAGCAAACTAATGATTTTCACAAAGTCAATTAGTTTAAGTTAAATTCTAGACAATGGTTCACTGTTGGTTCCAAAATTAAAAATGAATTATCTATTTTTGTGGGAATGCAGCTTACCCACCACCTGTGTCTCTCCTGCTCCCTTTCTTTTTAGTCGCTGGTGAGCTTCCTATGGACGTGCGATTGGGCGCAGGGCAGTTGGTGAGTGAAGAACTGATGACCCTGGGAGAAAGTCTCTCACAGACCAGTGATCCCTCCCTCAAGCTCTTTCAGTGTGCTGTGTGCAACCACTTCACAACTGACAACTTGGATGTGCTTGGCATGCATATGGGAGCTGAACGCAGCCTACCGGAGGATGAATGGCGCGCCGTGGTGGGTGACTCCCACCAGTGCAAGTTGTGCCACTACACCACTCAGCTCAAGGCCAACTTTCAGCTGCACTGCAAGACGGACAAGCATGTGCAGAAGTACCAGCTTGTAGCCCACATTAAAGAAGGTGGCAAAGGCAATGAATGGCGCCTCAAGTGTGTAGCCATCGGCAACCCTGTGCACCTGAAGTGCAACGCCTGTGACTACTACACCAACAGCCTGGAGAAGCTGAGGATGCACACTGTCAATTCCCGACATGAGGCAAGCCTCAAACTCTACAAGGTAATTTATTTTCTTTTTTTCTAACCCCATCCAACAGTCGTCAACAATCTGTATAGGATTACACAACACGGAAGAATTGATGAGTAACTAAAATACAATCTACAACTATAGTCTGTAGTTTGGTGAATCAGTTGAACCTTTCTTAAACTGGAAAAAATGGCGAAATAAAACGATTACATTAAAGCATAGTTCCAATTATTACATCTGCTGTGCACGCAGACGGTCCTAGGTTTGAGCCCCACTGAGATGTACGTCACTCTGCCTTATACAAGTTGGATAAACATGTCTGCTAAATGCATTAATGTAATTTTAACATAGCAATAGGTCTGGAGAAGTAATCCCATGTAGTTAAAATTGTAAATGAATGTCAAAGGATGATTCCTATGTTAAACCAACGGAAGAAACTGGCTATTTTAACATATATTAAAATTAGGGGTTGTCATATAATGGATCTTTACCACTTTTTAATGTGTTCAAGGAAAATATTGCTTTAATGTGTATCTGTTTAACAAATAGAATGTAGTTAATCAAAGAACATTATTTTTTTAGAACTTGTGTTTTAAGATTAAAGGTTCAACTGCTTTAACAAATTACAAGTTAAAAGTTACTGCACCAACCTTTCTGGAAATTTAGTTGATACCACAAATCTGTTTTCATTCTAACATACCTTCCTGCCTCTTGTAAAGACCCTTAAATGTGTTACTGATCTCCTTCCTGTTGGCTTACTACATTGTAATGTGCCATGGGAAGAACATGGCAGGTGGAGCTGGTTCACAGGCTTAGGGTCTGAATCTCTGGGAGACGAATGAAGAAGTGCGAGGAGACAGAGGTTTGGTGCTAATACTTCTCAGAGCGGGAAAGGCTGAATCGTTCTCGACAGCCGTATTGATTTTTGCTGGACTTGGAGCTTCACCTTCTCTTCTAATCATTCCATAATAGCCAATGGATGAACACTCTCAGAACAAATGGCCATAAATCTAACAGGCCTGATTCCATTTAGTTACCTATCCTGTGTGTCTGCGGCTTCGGCCACTCTGCACTTAACCCAAACTGGCATAGGTGCAAGCGGACATATACATCTATAACACTAACATTGTCTCCCTCAGGGCATTACCTTTAAAAACTTTCTTAACTTACATTTATGTAGTCTTTAAGGGTGACCTTTTTGGAAATGTAAGCTATTAAAAAGTTCAATTATGGCATCAGGGGTAGCTTTAAGAAAATTATAAAAAATAATGTGAAATACACCCTATCAAAACAGTCATTAAAGAAAAGAAAAAAATCCCCAGTCCTTCTGAGGGTCTACATCCATTATCCTGGTGGACATTTGTCCCATCTGAGTTTAATTTGCACTGAAATAAAAATAAAGTCTCTATTCTGTGTTGATGTGTATGAGCGTATTCTCTTGACCATAACTGCTGAACACATTGGCCCAGAATAGAATGACTGACCAATGTGAATATTCAAAAGAATGTTCTGCCTGTGATGCATTACCTGTGTACGCTCCACTTTGCTTTTAGACAAAATTGCGCTGTTTGTTTCATTTTCTTTTAGAGCAGACTGTTCAGGCTGTTCAGGCTGCAGGGGATTAAAAATGAACAGAACATCCAGGCATGATAGTTTAATGACTTAAGCCTCTTAAGTTGTTTCCATATTCTTGAGGCCAAGTGATCCCCTGGTTAAATGTGGTTCTGCCCAAATATAGCTGCATTTTATGTTAAAAAACATTGCATTCTCTATAAGCTGTAGAGGCAACAGAGATGTTTGAGAGCTGACAAGAGCTGTTACAATATTTTATGACTCAACCAGTGTGATTAGTGGATGAGCACATGTTTCTGTGTTTTCTTGGCTGCGCTCATTTGCAGTTTGACGGTGTCGCTGCTACTGTGCGACATTCTGTACTGGGTCGGATTTACTGTCCTGGTCGAAGAACTGACAGGGGCAAACCCTCCGTGGCACACCAGCTTGTAAACCCGACTTTGTATATTATGCAAAAGGAGTAAGGGAAAATTACCATTCATTTATTCCTCACCAAAGAAATCTGATGCACATGGCACCATTCTAACCTTTCTGGGGAGAAAATAAATCATCAAGTCAGCATAAACAGGCTGTAAGATGTGGGAGATGCTTGGGACACTTCGCCCAAATCAAACTGGTTTGCATTAAACAGGCCCTTTGTGTGCACAGCCCCATATAAATTGGAGCCTGTAATTACTGGAATTAAAAAGGAAGGTTTAAACTGAGGGCTGAGCTGGATGGGATAATTTGAGAGTCTGTGGTATGCGGCACATATTAGGGCTTTCTAAAAATATCACCCCCACCAACCCATGTATTGGAATGTTCCAAAAGACCACAGAAAGATCCAGCAAGCCATCCTAACCACACCGACCGACACACAGTGGGGGGTGAAGCTGTCTCCATCGCCCCGCTCCGTTGAGACTTAGCCTTTCTAAGAATTATTCTTGTTATTTGCCAACTCTCCACTGCACTCTCAAACTAACTTTCACCCTGCTTTTACAGAAAAGTTGAAGCTGCCCCCATGATAACTGGATGCTTACCCATCTTTTCCAGATGTGGTCACTGCTAAACATAAACAGATGGGTTTGCTTGCCGTGCAGATGACCCGAGCCTTAGTTTGTATATTGTGTTTGTAAAATGAAATAACGTGGTTCCGTGGGCTGTCTTTATTTTAAACAAACCTATCTTCTGCTCTTACTTTAGATCTGACCATATACATTACCCAGATCAACATGATAGTCCCTGCACTGCTAACGCTTAGCCTTGGAGGTTTTGTTTTTGCTTGTTTGGAGGTGAGATGAGTGGCATTAATTCAGCTTTAAGGCCTCAGCTTCTCTGGCCAGACAGAATGGGTGGTGCCTAACCAGGCCCGGCCACAGGCCTTAGTTTCCAGTCAAGGGTTGGCGGAAAGGGGAGGAGCAGCAGGGACTTAGCTGGCTACCTTCCTTGTCTCGGGGGCTGGTGCAATTGGCGGTAATTGAGATTGATTGGATGTTATTTTTCCTCTTGCAAATGTAGTCCATTAGCTTGGCACATGCATAATCAGTTTAGTACGCAGTTAGCCGAATGTAATCATGTTCCTCGGTGTCTGCTAGCACAAAATCCACTCCAGATGCCGCTTGGCCTAGGAAAGAAAAGGAGAAAGTGCCGCAACTATCAGATGGGGAATCTGTAACCAACAAAGTCCTGTCACCCCTCCCTCTGTCCTGGTCCTGCTCCATTGAGCTCACACATACACACACGCAACTGTACAAACTTTTGATCTGTCTCTCTCACTGCCCTAGAATGTCAATCACACACACACACACACACACACACAATCAGGCTTACATATGAGAGCAATGGTTTTGGTCATATACGCTGCACCTTTGAGTGCACTAACTTTGTGTTAAGTGGAGTCCATTAACAAACACAATACATCTGTATCTTGGAAGCTGTTGTTGCTCTTATTTTACCCTTCGCTGCAATTCAAAAGAATCAGTGAGCGCTGAGGAAAGAAAATGTCCACACTCTGCACAAACACAAATAATCAAAAGGAAACATAATTGAGGAAAATAGGAGGCTGTAATGTAAATCAAGGGATTAGTGGTTACATAGAAAGGCATTAAGGTGTTTCACTAATGATCCTACTCAGCAGAAGCCTTTGCTCCTCATTCAGGAATGCAGGGCGTGATGACCTCTTCCCATTAATGACTAACTACCAGGATTGACTTAAATCCTCATGGATATTAAGTTGCAGTGCTCTAATCAAAACGAGCCCTGTGTTTTATTCTCTTTAAGACAGAATTGGTATTTGTTCAGCTCTTCATTCCAGCGGCAGGAGGAACTCTGGTCACCTCCGTGTTGCCTAAGCATCTGTGTAGTAAAGGAATAAGCCCGAGTCATCGCTGTGGCCATTTCTTGAACAGCAGGTAATGTGAGATGTCCTTTGGCAAACATGACAATTCACAGGCTCCTGGTCGTGTCCACTCTCCCATCAGACATTTTAAAGAAGAGGAGGCGTAGAAATGATGGAGACACGCACACACTCACAGTCCCACACACACAGGAGAAAGCGAGTGGGGGGGCAGGGGGTTGGAACGATAGACACTCTGCTAATTATCATGGCTAGCCTATGATTGTTCAGTAATAGCGCTCAGTGGGAAAGGTTGCAGCAGTTCCAGGAAGAGCTGAGCTCTGATTTACTGGTACTACCGCTCTAATAAAGCGCTTGCTGCACATCCTGGGAGACAGTCCATTCTCCCCTTTCACATGCACAAGCATGTGAACGTATACACAAACACACTCACACCCTTGAATACCTTTCTTATCTGGAGTGCCACAAAATAGCAGGGAAGAAATCATAGAATGTTTAATTCTGATCGCTATAATGTGATAAATCACAGGCACAGAACACTGCCATGAACAGCGTCACATCTGACTAAGAACAGTCCCCGACATCCTCGAGCACAGTTACCCCTGCGTGTTTCAGCGTACTCCAGGCTAACACCTGAAATGGATCTTGCTGACTGCAGGTCGAGCAGAACGTGGATGAGTTTCATGCAGAAGAAAATCAGGCTGGATTAGAGCGAGGAGCCATCACACAAATAAAGGGGTAGAGGTGCTGGTGGGTTGGCAGTGTGCAAAAATTTTACAGTCTTTCAGATCCCACCCCCTAAGAAAATCCAGGGAAAAGGTCAGGCTTTGACCCATGGTTCAGCTGCTGCTGCTGCTGCTGCTGGGTCTAACAGAACGACACATGCTGCAGCTTTACTAGTGCTGTAGTAGTTATTGTGGTAGTTAGTGTGGCTGAAGCTATAAACATCACAGTTAAGGTAGCACAGAGACGGAGACCTAGTACAGTATGTCACTCCCTTTCTTGTTTACTGGGCATTTGCCACAGTTACCAGAGGTAAAAGGACAGCATGGAGCATCTCAGACTATAGGTTTTCCACCCTGTGTCTGTGTTAGACAGAGGTATACATATACATATCTTGCCTTGG